ACTGGTGGTGCTGGTGTCTCTGAGGGGAAGCCATGAGGCTGGTCCTGTGGATGCTGGAAAAAACACAAATCGGAATCAACTGCAGCTCCTCGAGTGAACCGCTATGTCAGTTGGAAAAAATGTTTCTAGGGTCGGGACATGTCGGGGCAGTTGGGGTGCTGGTTGTCTAATTTCTCCCTGCCTTTGGGGACTATTCCTCTTCACCCGCAGGCCCACACTCCCCTCTCAGTATTCTTCTTTCCAGGACCAACCCCAAACTTTGCTGGTTCCATCAATAATGTGCTTTACCGAGCACCTATCAGGCTGCACCCGCCCTGGGGTCTGGGGCCAGAGATATAGACGTAGTAACAGCATCCACATTTGTTGGAAAGCGTAGTGCCTGACCCTGCTCTAAGCATGTCATGTGCATTAATACGTGGACTATTACCCTCATTTTACAAATGGGGAGCCTGAGGCACAGAGACATTTAGCAGCTTGCCCAAGGTTATTTTTAGCTAGTAGTTGGCAGAGCCTGAATATGAACCCAAGCAGACTGGCTCCACGACCCACATTCTTCACTAAGTCCCCTCATTGCCCCAAGTACACAGCTGACCACAGCACAGGATGGAGAATGCCACTGAGAACGAATGGGAAGGCCTCACAGAAGTGGTAGCTCATTTCATGCATTCATTCAATAAGTCGTCTTCTTTTTATTTTTTTTTTTTGAGGTGGAATCTCCCTGTGTTGCCCAGGCTGCAGTGCAGTGCCGCCATCTCAGCTCACTGCAACCTCCGCCTCCCAGGTTCAAGCAACTTTCCTGCCTCAGCCTCCGTAGTAGCTGGGATTACAGGCTGGCACCACCATGCCCAGTGAATTTTTGTATTTTTAATAGAGACAGGGTTTTCTATGTTGGCCAGGCTGGTCTCGAACTCCTGACCTTAGGTGGTCTGCCCACCTCAGTCTCTCAAAGTGCTGGGATTACAGGGGTGAGCCATCACACCTGGCCTCATTCAATAAGTCTTTAGACTGGGGTGTGATGTAAACTAAAGCAGACATTCTGCCTGCTCTCAGGAAGCTTCTAGTGGAGAGATGGATATTATTTAAGTTTTCATACTAAAAAAAAAAAAAGCAAGCTCCAACCAGCTTGTGAAAATTATAATCATGGGGGCTTGTCATAAAATAGAAGTGAAAGAGCCTGCTTCCTAGAGGAAGTAATGATTGCACTGGGACAGAAAAGATGAGTGGGAGTTAATTTAACCGAGAGAAGAAGGAAAAGAGGTCTGGTCAGAGGGCACAGCATGTGCAAAGGCCCTGGGGTGAGGACTGGGGTCATGGTGAGTGTGAGGACCTCAAGTTCTTCTCCTAAACTCCAGCCAGCCCTCACTGGCATGCAGCCCACCCGGCATCAAGACTCCCACCACTCCAGTTTAGAGCCCTCTAGCCAGCCCTTTCTGTATCACGCTGGAGGCCAGCCATCACCTTCTAGTTGGGTCCCAGTCTCCCACAGCTCCAAGGAACAGGCAGTGTTCAGGGGACTCTTGAGGGAAGCCTGAAAAAGCCCCAAAGCTAGAATCTGCTCCGGAGACCAGCAGGGACAGTCCTGTGCGATGGGGAGCAGGGTAAGTTCCCAGTGAGTCTTTGGAGAGTAAGTGAGTGCACCAGGTAAATGAAGCATCAAGGGAGATGGGGGCTCAGATGGTCACCCCACCCACCATGAGAGCTCTGATGAGGAGACTTGGAGCACTGAACACACACCGATTGACTCCCACTCCTTGACTGCATGGGAGGGTAATGATGACCCCATTTCCCAGGGCAGGGCAAGGGCAAGGCCAGGCTGGAGAGGGACGTTGCTGTTTGGGGCAGCTTCTCAGCCTGACCCTTTCAAGAGGCAGCTGGGTCTTTGGAGAATGAGGTTCTGAGGGGTCACACAGTGGTTTTGTGTGGGATCCAGAGACGCTTTGGGATCAGCAGACAAGATCCTAGACTCCTAATGGCTCAAAGAGGGGAGAGGCAGAGAGCAGAAGGAAGAAAGGGAACCACATCTTCACTGGTCCCCCGTGCCTCCTCTCCACCCTGTTTACAGAAAACAAAGTGCCTTTGGTTGACTCTGGACTAATTCCTCCGAAGCAAATAGAGCACCCACTGCCAATGCTCCGGGAAGATCAGCTTCCCCTCCCCCACTGCGCCTCCTCCCTCCAGGCAGCAGCTGAAGGCCCGACTGGGGGCTCGGTGCTTGTGTCTGTTGGGATCTGCATGCCTGGCCTGTCCCCAAGCCCCCTCCCCCACCCCAGCTAGCACTGAAAGGGTGCCCCATAGCCATTCAAGTTTCCATGGACTCAACCTAATCAGGCATTGAGTACTGTGTCATCCTCATTACCCTCCCTGGGAACATCTGATTTGGAAGAACATCACTGAATGGGCCCCTCTGATTCCTGATGGGAAATGAGCCCCTCCCTGTCTGACCCCTCATGCCTGAGGTAGGCCTTTCAGCAGAACCACCCAACCAGAGGCTTTAAACAAAGATGATTTGGATTCCCTGAGCCTCCTTTCTGGGGCAAGGGTGAGGGCGTGTGCACAAATCCCTGTTGTGCCTTGTTGGGTTGGGGGGCCTGCAGGATGCCAGCACCCATCTGCCATGCTGATTAGGTCCTGGGGCTATTGGACAGGAGAACCGCCGAGGGGTGGGAGGACATGAGCCGGGGGCCGGGGGCTCCGGCAGGGACTCAGCGCCTGGCAAATGAGGTGACCCCACTGATTTGTTGGGGGCCCCTTACCCCCTCAGCATCACTCACCACCATCTCTTCCACCAGCCTCAAGTACTGCTTGGGTGGTGGGGGGCTGGGGGCATTTTTCACCCCAAGTGGGAAGATCTGGGAGTATGTTGGCGCCAGCTCACATTGGCTTGCAAGAGCAGATTGTTAAATACTCAGGAATTTAGTGAGCTGGTTGTTATAAACACAGTCATCATTAAAATTAAATTAAATTATACGGACTGTGTTTCTCAACTGTTTGCTCATCATTGCCTCCTCTAAGAAGCCTTTCAAGACATTTTTCTCCTCCAGTCTCCTACCATCACTCTCTCATAAAATGTTAATATCACAGATACTATATATCTGCTTATGTGATGGGTGTATACCTGCGCTTTATACATAAAAGGATTAGGTTTTTTGCTTTTTTTTTTTTTTTTTTTTATACAGAGTCTCACTCTGTTTCCCAGGCTGGAGCGCAGTGTTGACATCATGGCTCACTGCAACCTCCACCTCCCAGGTTCGGGTTATCCTCCCACTTCAACCTCCCAAGTGGCTGAGACTACAGGTACGTACCACCATCCCTGGCTAATTTTTGTATATTTTTTTTGGTAGAGAGAGGGACTCGTCATGTTGCCCAGGCTGGTCTGAAACTCCTTGGCTCAAATGATTTGCCCTCCTCAGACTCCCAAAGTGTTGGGACTATAGGTGTGAGCCACCGTACCCAGCAAGATTTTTTGTTTTGTTCCCCACCAAGAATCAGGTTTTTTTTGAGATGCATTTCGATCTTTGTTGCCCAGGTGATCTCGGCTCACTGCAACCTCTGCCTCCGGGTTCAAGCGATTCTCCTGCCCTAGCCTTCCAAGTAGTTGGGACTACAGGTGCCCACCACCACACCCGGCTAATTTTTGTATTTTTAGTAGAGACGGGGCTTCACCATGTTGGCCAGGCTGGTCTCCAACTCCTGGCCTCAGGTGATCCACCCGCTTTGGCCTCCCAAAGTGCTGGGATTACAGGCATGAGCCACTGCACCCGGAGAAGAATCAGTTTTTGCCCCGTTGAGAATGGATGCTATATACTCAGGATTAAATAAATTATATTAAAAGCAAAGGTAACGTATACTCACAGCACAGCCCTTCCTAGTGGCTTTGCTGCACTTTGCTATTATTGATTCTTTTGAGGTCATGGATATACCCTTTTTCCCTGGGAGAGCTGTTTGCTCAGCATTTACCAGCACACCACAGAGCGCGTCTTTTAGTGAAATAACAGACAGCATAAGAGGTGATTGATTTAATTCAAAGAAAGACGGGTTTGTTTAGCAAAAACCTCACTTAAGAAACATGGGATGCCAGGCGCGGTGGCTCAAGCCTGTAATCCCAGCACTTTGGGAGGCCGAGGCGGGTGGATCACGAGGTCAAGAGATCAAGACCATCCTGGTCAACATGGTGAAACCCCGTCTCTACTAAAAACACAAAACATTAACTGGGCATGGTGGCACGTGCCTGTAATCCCAGCTACTCAGGAGGCTGAGGCAGGAGAATTGCCTGAACCCAGGAGGCGGAGGTTGTGGTGAGCCGAGAACGCGCCATTGCACTCCAGCCTGGGTAACAAGAGCGAAACTCCGTCTCAAAAAAAAAAAAAAAAAAAGGTCAGGGGCATAAGACTGAGACCGGTACCCCATTTCCTCCCTTGGTCTCGTGTCTGGGGGGGTCCTATGGTACCTGGAGATCTTCATTCAGAATGGCACGCTGGGCCGGATGGGGAAGACGGAAGGATGAATGGCACTGCCTGGCCTTGAGGAGAGGGAGAAGACAAGCCTCCACGAGGTAAAGGCGCAAGCTGCATGACTTCCTGCTCTCCAGGCCTCAGTCCCGCTGCCTGGCACCCAAATGACATCGGAGGAGTTCTCAGTGGACCCTTTCCGCTCTCACCGTCCCAGCCTGGAAAGCTCTCACTGTCTCAGCCAAGAAAGTTCTCACCATCCCAGTCTGGAAAGTTCTAATCATCCCAGTCTGGAAAGCTCTCACTGTCCAAGCCAGGAAAGCTCTCACTGTTCCAGCCAGGAAAGTTCCCACCATCCCAGTCTAGAAAGTTCTCACTGTTCCAGCCAGGAAAGTTCCCACCATCCCACTCTGGAAAGCTCTCAGCGTCCCAGTCTGGAAGGTTCTCACCATCCCAGCCTGGAAAGCTCTCCTCTTCCTTCCATCCAGACAAAGCGAGGAGGCCTGGCCTAGGTACCTCCTCCTGCCACTCCTCTGGCCTCGCTCATCTCCTATCTGCACAGCAGGATGGCCTTTTGTTTTTATTTTCTTTGATCTTTTTTTTATTTGGGGAGAGCACAGGGGTCAACACATCCAGAGTGCAATGGATAAGCCTTGCCCTGGGAAAACCACCTTCGTGATCATAGTATCTCCCCTGCCAGGTAAGTATAGAATGGCCTTTTAAAACTCAGCCTACCTGCTTTTAACCACAGCAAGGTGACACATGAGGGGCAGAGTGTGAACCCAAATGATGCTGTGATATTCCTTCCCAGCTGGCAGACCATGGGCTATTATTAGCTGACCCCGACACTAGCCTCCTCGTTTTATTTTATTTTGCTCTGTCTCCTAGGCTGGAGTGCAGTGGTGCAATCTCAGCTCACTGCAATCCCCGCCTCCCAGGTTCCAGTGATTCTCTTGCCTCAGCCTCCTGAGTAGCTGAGACTACAGGCATGCACCACCATGCCCGACTACTTTTTGTATTTTTAGACTAGGCTGGTCTCGAACGCCTGACCTCAGATGATCCACCTGCCTCAGCCTCACACAGTGCTAGGATTACAGGCATGAGCCACTGTGCCTGGCCTCCTCATTTTATTTATTTATTTATTTATTTTGTGAAGGAGTTTGCTCTTGTTGCCCAGGCTGGAGGGCAGTGGTGTGATCTGAGCTCATTGCAATCTCTGCCTCCTGGTTCAAGTGAGTCTTGTGCCTCAGCCTCCGGAGTAGCTGGGACTACATTAGTGTGCTACCATGCCCAACCAATTTTTTTTTTTTTTTTTTTTTTTTTTTTTTGTATTTTTAGTACAGATGGAGTTTCACTGTGTTGGCCAGGCTGGTCTCAAACTCCTGGACTCAGGTGACCCACCCACCTCAGCCTCCCAAAGTGCTGGGATTACAGATGTGAGTCACTGTGCCTGGCCTTATGATTATAATTTTTTTCTTTATCTTCCAGAACCATTATCTGAGACTCATCTTTTTTTTAAATTGCATTTTGGGTTTTGGGGTACATGTGAAGAACATGTGAGATTGTTGCACAGGTACACACATGGCAGTGTGGTTTGCTGCCTTCCTCCCCATCACCTGTATCTGGCATTTCTCCCCATGTTATCCCTCCCCAACTCCCCACCACCCGCTGTCCCTCCCCAATTTCCCCCCCACAGACCCCAGTGTGTGATGCTCTTCATCTTTAAAATAGGAATAAGGCCAGGCGTGGTGGCTGACACTTGTAATCCTGGCACTTTGGGAGGCCGAGGAGGGAGATCGCCTGAGGTCAGGAGTTCAAGACCAGCCTGGCCAACATGGTGAAACCCTGTCTCTACTAAAAATACAAAATTTAGCCGGGTGTGGTGGTGGGCACCTGTAATCCCAGCTACTCAGGAGGCTGAGGCAGAATTGCTTGAACTTGGGAGGCGGAGGTTGCAGCGACCGAGATCATTCCATTGCACTCCAGCCTGGGTAACAGAGTGAAACCCCATCTCAAAAAAAAAAAAAAAAAAAATAGGAATAAGAAGCCGGGTGCAGTGGCTCGCGCCTGTAATCCTAGCACTTTGGGAGGCCAAGGCGGGTGGATCACATGAGGTCAGGAGTCGAGACCCGCCTAACCAACATGGAGAAACCCTGCCTCTACTAAATATACAAAATTAGCTGAGCATGGTGGCACATGCCTGTAATCCCAACTACTCGGGAGGCTGAGGCAGGAGAATCGCTTGAACCTGGGAGGCAGAGGTTGCGGTGAACCAAGATTGCACCACTGCACTCCAGCCTGGGCAACAAGAGGGAAACTCTGTCTCCAAAAAACAAACAAAAAACTCTCTGTCTAAAAAAAACAAAAACAAAAACCCAAAACCCTCTGTCTGAAAAAATAAAACCCTCTGTCTCAAAAAAAAAAAAAAAAAAAAAGGGAATAAGGCCCGCAGCACCCAAGCTAGGGTGAAAACACATGAGGTAATGTGCTGCTCACCTAGTAGGACACTAAACTGTGTCCTTCAAATTCACGTGTTGAAGTCTTAACCCCCAGTACCTTTGAATGTGACTATATGGAGATAGTGCCTTTAAAGAGGCCAGGAAAGAAAGTGAGGCCGTCAGAGTGGGTCCTAATCCAACATGGCTGGTGTCCTTATGAGAAAGGGAAGTGTGGCCGAGCGGGGGGGCCCCAAGGGTGCACATGCACAGCGGGATGACTGTGGGAGGAGGCGGTGGGAGGACAGTCGTCTGCAAGCAGGGACAGAGGCTTCAGGAGAAACCAACCCTGCCGGCACCTCAATCCAGACGCCCGGATTCCAGAACTGTTAGAAAATAAATTTCTGTTGTTGAAACCACCCAGTCTGTGGTATTTTGCAATGACAGCCCTGGCAGAATAATACGGTCCTTCAGAGGCACCTATTCTTTCTGCCTTTAATTTGCTTTGGCCTTGTTTTATGTGTGGCCTTGTTTTATTTGCTTGTAAATGACTTGAGGGCGACATTCAGGGAGACGTATCTTTTCCTGTGTCCCCATGGGGTGCGGTTCAATGCCGGGCACAATATGCACAGAATCAGACCTTTGCCCTCACTGCCAGCTTTGCCCACCTGCTGACAAGGGTCGGGGAGGGGGGTGGCATGGGGGGACCCCAGCTGCTCTCCACCAGGGTGCTTTTCAAAATTCAAGTCATGGAAACAATTTAGGGAACTACATGAGTACTTTTCAGAAGTAATAAGACAGAATAGCAGATAATAGAAAATGTCAAGGTGTTTTTCAGGCAGTAAAGGTGTTACTTCATGCAACTCTGTTTGATTTTACATATTTATAAATAGACAAAATACTTACAGATTATTCTAAGACCTATGATTACGTTTGTGTGTCTGGTTACTGCATTGTGCTATTAAATACATGGCTTTAAAAAAAAAAATAGAGACAGGGTCTCGCTATGTTGCCCAGGCTGGTCTCGAACTCCTGGGTTCCAGTGATCCTCCTGCCTCAGCCTCCCAAAGTGCTGGGATTACAGGGGGAGCCACTCCATCTGGCCTAAATGCATTTCTTACTGTGAGTTTCAGTCCCAAAATTTTGAAAACACTGATCTACCAGTGTTTTCCGATTTCCCTTCAAGTGAGTTTGTGGTTAAAAAGTTGGTCAGCTCTTGGGGAGGCTTGGAGTCTATGGGGGTGAGGGCTGGGCCCCCAGGGTGAGGACCTAAAATGGACTTAAGTCACTCTGTCCAGGCAAAGAGCCATGGAGCCCTGTCTTTGGTTACTTTCCTCTCTGCGTCCTGGGGCAAGTGACATGACTTCTCGGTGCTTCAATGTCCCTGCCTGTAGAAGGGATTTAAAAAAATCTATCATGGGGTGCTGTGAGGATTACCAGGAGCTGAGGAACTTGAAGGCCCTTGCTAATGTCAGAGGTGGTTTGTTATATCACTGTTTCATGCAAGTCTGTCTGCTCTAGGAGGGGGATTGTTTTCTTGCTCTTCCACTTCAGGAGAAAGGAACACACATGTCCCTCACCCCTTGGAATCCCTGGCTGGGGGTAAGCCAGGGGCTCAAGAGTCCTCAGAAAAGTATTTCAAAAGCTCAGTTGCAAGGTGAGACTCTCCTAAGGGTTTAATGTAGGTAAAATCAAGTTCTGGAAAAGTTTCAAAGCAGCTTCCAAAGGGGAGTCAAAGTCCTAAGAGGCCAGAAGGAGTCGTCCACCAGCCTCTGTCTAGGTAACAGGAGATCCGGGCTGGCTGTCACCCCCTCTTACGCTGTTCCCAGGAACACCAAGCCCTGAGTCACTACTAGAAGCCACCCTGGGCCCACGGGGAGCACAGAGCTGGGACAGCTGCCCCCCAGGGTGGTCCTTGGGCTTGGTTGCCCAGCAACCCCAGCCCTCAGCAGGATGTTTCTCTCCACGTGGTGCCCCCCTTCTCAGGGCTGACATCTCTCGAAAACCCATGCTTGGCCGGGCATGGTGGCTCAAGCCTGTAATCCCAGCACTTTGGGAGGCTGAGGCGGGTGGATCACGAGGTCAAGAGATCGAGACCATCCTGGTCAACATGGTGAAACCCCGTCTCTACTAAAAATACAAAAAAAATTAGCTGGGCATGGTGGCACATGCCTTTAATCCCAGCTACTCAGGAGGCTGAGGCAGGAGAATTGCCTGAACCCAGGAGGCGGAGGTTGCGGTGAGCCGAGATCGCGCCATTGCACTCCAGCCTGGGTAACAAGAGTGAAACTCCGGCTCAAAAAAAAAAAAAAAAAAAGAAAACCCATGCTGGCAAACCTGCTTCCAAGCAGGGAACTTGGACATGAGTGGAATATCAGGAATTCCTGGAGGATTTACAGTCCAGCAACTGGGACAGGTGGAGGTAGATGACTCCTACCCATGACCCCAGCTCTGAACGTGCCTCCTTGCTCTGGCACAGTTCTCTCATCTCTGGTCTAGGTCACCATGCCCACGCCCATCCCCTTGTTCAGAGCAGAGAGCACTGGGTACAGAGCCAGGAGCCCTGTTTCCAAAAATGCTCGGGCCCTTACCCTCTGTGCGACCTCAGGCAGCCCACTTCACCTCTCTGGGACTCAGTTTCATCATCTGTAAAACAGGAGTAGATTTGATTGGTCCTTGATTTTTTTTTTTTTTTTTTTTGATAAGAGTTAGATATTTTACTATTCTTTCTAAAATTCTAGAAAATGAACCAGAGGAGCTGACACTACGCTGGTTTCCTTCTCCAAATAGAGAAACGGGTACTTGCATTCCTGGGGATGCAGCTGGAGTTTCCAAACCGTCAGATGTTTCCAGGGTTTGGAATCTGGTTGGTGGGGCAGGGGATGTGCATTCTTTCCATAGCTTGCATCAGGAGGGTGAGGATTCTGGACTGCAAAGGGCCTAGTTTGCAGTGGGCAGGGGAGAATGGTTGTTGCCCACACAGCAGCTGCATTCCCACGCTAGAGTCAGGAAAAGGGGAACTTCTCTTGGCCAGGTCTCACTAGCATCCTCCCTTCTTCACCTCTGTCTCAGCTCAGAGGTCCTCTGCCTTATTTGGTGGAGATGCCCATTGTCCAGGGCTAATCAGAGGACCTCCCAAACTCCTCTCACTCAGCTCTGCCTCCAGATCATTCTTGACTTTCACACCTCCTCACCAATCAAACTGATTTTTAATTAAGTTATTTATTTTTAATTTTTTTTTTTTGAGACGGAGTCTCACTCTGTCATCCAGGC